GACAACACGCTCCCCCCGCCCCCCCCCCCGCGCCCCCTGGCGCGGTGGGTTGGACCTGGGCCAGTTGCAGGGGGGGGTGGGGGGAGCACAGGAGGAGCCGCCGCTTGGGGGAAAGTTACCGGCTGGACTATTCGGTTTCTTGCGCTTCCAGAGCCGCGCTCTCTCTCTGGTAGTGGGGCTCAGCGACAACCTCCCAGCGACATAGGACGACCCCTCACTCCGCCGCCCCTCCATCCCACTCCTTTCCTTCAGGCTCCAGTCCCGCCGCCACCTTTTCAAAGCCAGCTCAGGCCCCCAGAACCCAAGAGCCAGAGTAGGTGACTGGGAAGAATTCTACCTACCACCCGTTCCCCCACCGGCGCCGGCGCACCTGCCCCTACCCAGAGTGGGGGTCGCGACTGTGTTGTAGAACCTACTGTGCGCGCCGCTGGCAGAGGGCTGCCATTCAAAGGGGTGGGGGGCGCTGCTTTCAATTTCCAGCTTTCTTTCTCTCCTCCCACCCCACCCCAAGTAAGAGAGCGACGTGTCCCGGCCAGAGCGAGGGGGGGCCAAGAGTGGGGGGGCGGCGTGGGCAGCGGGTTGTGCCCGGACACGTGCCTGCCCAGGCGCCCCGGCCCTGCCGGTGTTTGGAGAGAGGGCGGGTCCCCTGCCCCCCGCCCCGCACAACCCCCACGTATCAAAGGGCGGCTGAGACGTGGTGAGACCTCGGGGCGCCCTGGGGGGGGGCGGGGGGAGCCTGGGTCCGGAGCAGGGGAGGGGCAGAGGCGCGGGTGCTAGCTGACCCACAGGAAACGAGCGCTGCTGACCTAGTTTGGGACACCGGAAGTGGGTGCTGAGGAGAGGGGGAGACCAGCAGGCTGTCCTGGCTTCCGGGCCAGGTGGAGGGCGTTCTTGAATTGACCCCCACTCGAATGCTTTGGAGACCCCTAGCTGCAGCTGAGAATGGGAATGAGTCAGCGCAGCTATTCCCCCTTCCCCCAACTTATTCCTGGAGGAGGGAAGACAGTTTAGTAGGGGTAGGGGGAGCCAGATTGGGCAGTGAGGGGTTAAACCAGGATGGGAACTCTGTGTTCCCAATAGGGTGTATATGTGTGGGGGATGAGGCCTGGAGGATCATGGGGTTGCCTTCTGCTCCCCCACATACACCAACTGGTTTGGTCACCCCTGTACCCACCTGGCACCACTGGGAGAGCTGGCATAGAGTGGGCATTAGGTTAGGAGGGGAGAGTGGGCATAGGAGTTGTGCTGGAGAGGGACGTATTTGTGATTGAGTTGGGTGGTAGTTAGTGTTCCTCCTTAGTGGTGACTGGGGAGAAGGGCAGGGGGCTCCCCCTGGAGCAGCTGATGAAACAAGAAGAAATCTCTGTCAGTGCCTCCTGTCCCTGGCCCCCGGGACCCCAGCTCCCCCAGCGTGCCTCTGTTGCATGGTTGCTGTGGGCACCACGCAGCCTGCTGGCACCCCCAGACACTGTCCCCTCCCTTGGGTACCACACCCCCTAGCCTTAGCTCAAGGGTCAGGAAGGGGTTAATACCACCCGAAAGGGGCTCTGGGGAAGAAAGAAGGCAGTGCCCACTAGGCTCAGGTGTCAAGGAGAGAGGCCTGCTCTAATGGAGCCCTCTCATCACTATGCAACTCCAGCTGCTATGGACCCCAGTATCTGGAAGACAGGTGCTGACCTCTTCCCCCTTCCCCATGGTGCCCCCTGGCACCCAAGGCCCCCAGCTCCTCCTTGGCCTAGTGCCCGTCCCGGGAGGGTGCGGCGGGCAGCGGGGGCTGGGCTAACAATGCACCATCGGGCCCTTTGTGTGCTTGCACTTGGCACCCTGGGGAAGGGTGGGGGAGGGGGCCCAGCGGGCATGGGGGGCGGAGCGCCTCTGGGGTGGGGACAGTGAAGGCTGGGGGAGAGAAGCAGAGAATGAAAGCAGGTGGGGAGGAAAGGGAAGTAGGTCAGATAGGGTGCTGGCCCCCCATTCCAAGCCAAGGCTGAGAGAACCAGCCCCTGATACTGTTGGCTGCCCAGATGGCATCATGCTCCCCGAGGCACAGTCTAGGATTGGACATTTGGGGTCAGAAGTCACTTCCCAGGGGACTGCTCAGATGGAGGAGGCCCAGCTCGGTACTGCCCCCTTCTTGGTGGCTGAGAGACCCAGTATCTGGCCCGAGGCAGAGGCCCCAAGATGGGTAGCGAATGGGTTCCAGGCAGGGTGCTGCCCTCTGATAGAAGCCTCTGGGCCTGCTCCTGGGCTTCCTGCCTCCAGCCTGCTTGGTTCCCTGACCTTCTGAGAGTTAAGACTGCCCTGCCACCAGGCCTTGGGGCCTATGCCTGTTTTGGCCTAGGGCTGAAGAGGAGGGGGTGGGGAGGAAGGTGGGGACAGGCAGACGGATAGGACCCTGGCATGGGGTGTGCCCGCTCTGGCCTCTTCCCCCTCCTTCTGCTGAGTAAACTCGTGAGTAAACTTGACGTTTTGCCCGGACAGTTTGAAGTTGCCTCGCCGCCCCCCCCACAGTCCTGCCAACACACAGGCGGCCAGGCGCCAAGGCGGGCCTGGGGGACTGGGGGGAAGGGGTTAGAGCTGCTGTCATGTACTATCAAGGGCTTCAGAGGGGCAAGAGAGAGCTCCCACCCAGCCCCACCAAGGTCTTGGCAAGAGTCTTGACTGGGGCCTGTAAGCATCTGTCCCAGAGCCTTGGGGAGGCCAGGGAAAGTGGCCTCGAAGCAGAGCTTCTGCCCACTTCTGACCTCCACCCCCACTAAGGAAAGGCAATCGGCTGCCATCTGGCCCCCTTAGTTGCCACCTTTAATGTTCATAGGTTACCTGGCATAGGGGGAAAGCTACTTTTAGCAAATTCCACTGGGGGCTGCCCTCTTCATTCTATCCCATGCCCGTGGGCCTCCTCTCAGAGGCCTCCCAGCTGTCATGGCCTCAGCCCTGGAGGATAGCATCCTCATTTGCCAGCACAATTCTTTGACCTCACACCTGGGCCTAACCTCACACATACCTCCCTCTACCATATTTCCCATCGGACCTGGCCCTGACCTCTCCCAACCCCTTCCTCTGCCTGCTAGCATCCCAGAACCGAGTCAGTCTTCAGAGCTTCCCAGCCAGCAAATACCTGTGCCAGATCCAGGGGTTGAGGGTGCCCCCTCAGGCAAGAGAGAGCTGGTGGCAGGCAAACAGACCCAGTGACCCCACAAACACACCAATTTGCTGTCACTTGACATCACTAATTCCTCTTCTGCCTCCCCAGGCCACCAGAATGGCAGAGGGAAATGCATTCCCAGTCCCTGCCTGGCCTCGGAGTGGGGCTCCACCAGGCCCTTGCTTTCGACCTCATGTCTCTGGCTTCAGTTTCCTTCCTGTTTCCACTCCCCCCCCAACTCCTCCCCACCCATATGCCCCTTTCAACAGACATCCTCTCCTCCTTCCTTCCTCCTTTCCTCCCTCTTTGCCTGGGAGCAGGGGTCTTCTCTCCCCACCATGGACCTCCTAGCCTTTTACCTCTTTAAACACAGTCCCCTTGGAGATTTGTGAAGTCCTCTGCTCTGCCTTCCCCGACCCTATCAGTGAGGCTCTGGGGAAGAAGAGAGCACAGGGCTTCTCAAGGGAACTACAACTCCCAAGGTACATGCAAAGCAATTGTGGGGCATACTGGGAGTTGTAGTCCTCCTTGATCTCTCAATTTGGTTAAGTCTGGATATGTTTCTGTATGGGAGTAAAAGCTAGGACTAGAATAAATTGGAACATGGGTACCCTCTGTATCCCCCCACCTTGTTCTCATCATCCTGTTCCCACGTGATCCCATGTGCCCATGATTGATATCCGTCTCCCCTGGTGAGACATGCTACCCATTCTCTTAGGGCCCCACCCAAGAGATGCCCACACCCTGTCCTGCTGCCCCTGGCAGGGGTGAAATGGAGGGGCCCCATGAACTCCTTCCCTGCCCCCTGCCCTCTAGGCTGGTTCCCTGGGTTTATGGGGATCAAAGGGCAGAGAACAGCCCCACCCCACTCCCTCGCAGGCTGCGGGCACTAGGGCTCTCAGGAATTGCAGGGACTTTGGTGCCCAAGCAAATGCTTGGGCAGGGGGAATGCCGGGAGGCTGGCTCCTGGTGGCAGGGAGAGACACTGGCCCCCACCTTGGGGAGTGGAACCTTCAATCACTGCTCATCGGGCTGTCCATAGCCTCTTGGGCTCTCTTTGTGTTGGCCCTGACCTGTGTGTTGCCTCTTAAGGAGATAGCTTGAGAACAGGGTCTTGGGCCTTATCTATAGGACCTAGGGGCCTGGGCCCGCCTGGCTGGCACCAAGACACAGGGGTGACCCTCCCCCACCCCAGGCCCACAGTTGGCATGGGGCGCTGGGAGCAGGGGGGTAGGAGGGAGAGGAGAGCAGGACTGCCAGCATCCTGGTGGGTAGGTGCCAACCGGGCCGGGAGCTGGTGAGGGGCAGCAGGCCAGCGGCATTGAGCCAGCAGCTGTTGGGGGGAAAGGGGAGGAGATATTTTAGGGGGCATTTCTGTGGTCCCCCCTCAGCCCAGCAGAACTTAGGATGGCCTAATGTTTGAGGGACATGAGGGCACCCCTCATTCCAGGAATAAGAGACCTCAGGAGTTGTTTAAGTGGGACTTTGTGGCCCACCCATCTCTGGGCTCAGAGCCCTTCTGAGTTGCCCCTCAGGCCCAGGCGGGTCCCACCCAACCGGCCAGGGTGGCAGCAGCTTGCGCAAGGGGTGGGGCTAGGCGCTTCCCAGCAGATGCCCCCTCCCAGCTCCTTCCTCTTTCGGTGCCCACAGCTCCCCCATCTGTCCACCCCCCTCAGGCCAGCTCTGTCCCCCTGATCCCCCCGGCCACTGGGGGCTGGCATGAGTGCTGCCCCCTGGCCTGGTTGGCAGGGGCTGGCGCCCGGGCAAGGAACTGTGGTATGTGAGTGGGTTTGGGGTGAGGCATGGGGAGGGCGGGGTGCTGCCTTGCCCAGCCCCTGAGGGCCCCAGCCCAGTACAGGGTGGGGAGAATTCGGCCAGCTCCCAGGGGGGCTGAGGGGCCCATTAGGGTCTGGAGGGCCTCCTTTTGGTCCCCTATCATACCACATGCCCTGAGGGGCTGGGACCTGGGCACCTGTCACCCCTGGCACTGACTGTCCAGGGCTCCCCTCCTCCCTCTTCTGGCCACTGCCGCCTCCTGTCCCCTCCCCTCCCTTCTTCCTTCTCCTGGTCCCACCTCCAGAAGCCTCTCCTATTGCTCCTCCTCACCTCTGTCCTCCTGGACTGTCCCAGCTCCTACCTTCCCTACCGCTCACCTTTTTCCCCTTTTAGGACTGAGTGAGGACAGGCGGGGGTGGTACAGCTGGGGCTTGGGGCACAGCAGCAGAGACTCTAGGCCCTCTCCCACGCTGCCAGCCCTCTGGTAACCCCTCCCTCCAAGCTGGGGGGAGGGGGGACAGCACCCAGAGGGTTAAGGCTGTAGGGGGGAGGGGCTGGGCCAGGTCGTGGGCGGCCCCTTTGAAGGAGGGAGCTGGAGCGGGGAACAGCCACCCTACCTCCCCCCCAGCCCGGCCCTCCCCGACCCCTCCCAACCTGCTCCCCCCAGGGGCCAAGAGGAGCTGCCGGCAAGGCCCCTCAGCGTTCAGGTGAGTAGGCCCCGCTCTAGCTTGGGAGTTGAGGCCCCAGGGGAGGCTTGGAGGCCTAGAATTGGCCAAGGGTCAGAGAGGGACTGAAAAATAGGCTATAGGCAGAGGGTGTCCCAACTGTACTGGGGGTTTAGGGAGCTGAGGGTCTGAGGAGCTGGAGCGTGGGGGAGCTTCAGCGTCCAGGGGACCCAGGAGGACAGGAGAGCAGAAGAAGGGGCCTACAGGAGCCGAGGGATTGCTGGGCCCGGACAGGAGGTTGGACAGGCTGGCAGGGAGCCGGACTCCGGGGATCGGGCTGGGGTGTCCTCTGGGGCTGGGGGGCTCAGGTTTCTGCCGGTGGCTTGGCGGGTGTGGGGTTACCAGCCGGCTCGGTTACCCAGCCGGAGACGCTAGGCTTGGGGGAGGGGGTGGGCACAGGGCAGACCCTGGCACCTTGTGCGGTTTCCTCAGGCCCTAAGGGGAGCTGGCAGTGCCCAGGCAGACCCCGCTGGGAAGCCTGATGGCCAGGGTCTGTCCAAGTGCACAGCTGCCTGGCCCAGGGTGGGCACCTTCTGGGGAAAGTCCAGCAGCTCCAGCGCTGGAAACTCTGACGGGCAGAGAGGCCTAGGTTGTCCCCCCCACCCCACCCCACATCCGCTCTCACTGCACCCCCCGCACCCATCCTCCCCACCTGGCCCCCAAATTTTGGTCCTGTGCTTCATCCAGAAGGGGACCATGGGTGCCCTAAATGTGGCCATCCCATGGCAAGACCAGGCCTTGGAGGGCAGGCCTTCCTCCTTGATTTAATTCCTCTGCCCATCTCTATACCGCGCCTGCCCGGGGAGAAGAAAAGGGATGCTTGGAGCAAGGTGAAATGGAGGAAGTGGGAGAGGCTTGAGCAAGACAACCAAAAGGGAAAAGAAAGGAAAGGTAGGGATGGTTCCTGGGAGGCCTAGTGACATAGATGTGGTAGAGAAGAGGCAGGAGCCTGGCAAGGGCTGAGGGAAGGAAAGCAAAGAATGAGGTGTGGAGAGGGGAGACAAGAGTCAGAGAAGGCAGTAAGGGGACAGAAAGAGGAGGCCAAGAGTGGAGAATGGCTGCTGAGCAGAGGTCCCCAAAGGTAGAGAGGGGAAGGCTGGCAAAGAGGGAGTTGCCCCCATTCCTTCCTCCGCCATCTTTTATCTCCCTCATATTTCTCCTGATGTGGCCTGAGGGGCTGTGTGCTAGGGCTGGTGTCACGGAAAGAAAATGTGGGGGAGCACTGAGGTCTCCCTCATTTCGGGAGTCGCAGCACCAGGAATTGGGGATTTTGAGGGAGGAGAGGCTTAACCCCCATAGCACCGGGAAGCAGCCAACTCCCCTTGCCTCCTTCCCCCTTCGTGGCTTGCGGTCTCTCTTCCCCGCCTCGGCCCCCAGGAAGTGTGAGTGCTGGGGGTGGTGAGGTTAGAAGGGGGGAAGCGGCATATGGGGGGATGGGGAAGGCATGCACTAGCTTGGAGGGGCTGAGGTGGGGAGAGAAGGGCTACATGAGTGCCTAGGGCATCCCTGGGCAGAGGGCCTCTCCTTCGAAGCCTTCCAGTCCTCCAGGGGGTTCCCCTCAGACCCTTACCCTGCCTTCCCAACTGGGCAGTCCAGATGGCTTCAGCCGCTGGGCCCCAGAGGCCCTGGGAAGGGATGGAAGAGGCTGGGGAACTAGGATTCCTGGGTCCCTGAGGACTTTGGACTGGCTGTCCTATTTCCCCACCCGCCCTGGTCCAGCCACAGGCCAAAGCCCTGGCTTCGTGCAAACTTAGCTCCAAAAAAACAGGAAGAGAACCTGAGGCTGGAGTTGGGGTGGGGGTTGGACGGGGGGAGAAAGGAGAAAGAAGTAAGGGGGAGGGGTGGCCTGCCAAGGTGCCAGGGACACTGGGAAGAGCCTCAGGTCTCCATCACCCCTGGCAGGAGGATGTCACAGCCTGGTCCGTGTCCTCCCTCACTCCAAGCTGCCGCACCTGGAGAAGGCTGGCCAGGCCCCTCTCAGGCTCCCTGGCAGAGCCCAGAGGTGGGGGCCTTGGAGCCCCGGTGGGGGGAGCGCTCTGTGTGTCTCAGGCCCATATCTATTTTCTCTGCCACTAATCCTGGTTCCGCCTGCTGCCCCCCACACTAAGCCTCACTCCCGTAATCCCCAGGGTGCAGGGAGGGGGGCCAGCTTTACTCAGCTGCCCCTTTCAGGGCCTCGTATCCCTGCTCTTCAGCTGGCTCCAGCCAGCAGTGTTGGCCCTGGTGCCCCCAGCCCTGCACTGGACACTGCCTGAGGTCAGCACCTGGAAAGAGTTCCAGCCTCCTTTCCTTTCCGAACCAGGGCCAGTGCCCTCTACCTTTTGGTCTCTTGGTGGTGGACACACCCTAGCAGGTGCCCTTGGGCACCGAGGGGTAGATGATAGGGGCTCCCACCTTTTCCCCTCTCCCACCTTTCTTACCCCAAAGTCTTCCCCCCAACCAAAGATGGGGCAGGCTTGACTCAGGGCCCAGTTTCAAGAGAGCTGCCCACCGGCTTGGCCGGTCTAGCAGGCCTGACAGTGAGGGGAGCCTGGGGGGGTGGCGGGAAAAAGGGAGCAATGGGGCGGGGCCCCCAGTTCTTCCCCCTACCAGGCAAACAGACCAAACAGACCTCGCCTGGTTCACTGGCACCGCTGCCCCCCCCACAACCACCACACACGCCCATGCCCACAAGGTCTTAGCAAGAGGGGGCATGCCAGGCTGGGTGGGGATGGGCCGTCCTCATGGGGCGTCAGGGGGCTGGGCCCTCTGGGATGCAGAGGTGGGAAGGATGCCCATGGTGGGGTGGGCATCCTGGTACCAGCGCCCCACCCTGTCAGAAAGAAGGCAGAGACCTCCACCCCTCCCAGATGATGTGGCTAGGAGTGCCCCCTTGGCCTGGTTGGCACCAGCATAGTGCCAGGTGGCACCTAAGTTGGCATAGGTGCCAGAGCCCTGGGTAAGGGCTGGGGGAGTTTCCCAGAAGCTAGAGAACTGTGTGAACACTCTCTCCTTCCCACGTGTGTCCTCTGCCTCTCCCCTCCTTCGTCTCTACCTCGTGGCCATGGGCATTGGAGTTGGGCCTAAGGAGTTAAACACCCACCTTTGCCCAAGCCTTATATGAGTTGCATGGTGAACCAGCCTGAGCCTGTGACCTGACAGCAGGGTCAACCAATCAGCGCCCCTACCACACCAAGTTGCCACGGAGACTGGCCCTGGGGTGGGAGAAAGGAGGCGGGCTTAGCAGCGGGAATGGGTGGGGTGGGGAGAGAAGGAGGGAGAGGGATGGGGTGAGCCACGTGCCTGCGGGTGCCCAGCTCCCGGCCAATGGACAGCGAGGACAGCCCCACCCATTCCCCTCAGGAGGGACAGGATCCACTTGGGCCCAGGAGGGTGCCCACTGCTGTTTAAGTGGCTGCTGCTGCCCACCCAGTTTTTGTTTGTTCCTAAGTCCTGGGGCCATTTGCCATTTGTACTATTTGTAAAGTACAGGCAGGAGAACCAAAGGGAACTGGGAGAGTTCCCAGACTTCTTGGCCCCCAGGGAGAGAAGTAGTTTGAGGACTCAGGTGGGAACGTGTGGGCTATCTCAGGGTACTGAGATGTGGCTTACAAGCACAGGCAGACACATGGGTGCTGCTCACTCAAGGCTTCTGCCCAGGAGTCCTGGCATTGCATTGAAGGTGGCAGGCAAGGAGACAGGCAGAGACAATGCAGTTCTTGTGTCCTAAAGAGGAAATTTGTGGCCCTTAACTCCCCCAACCCCCAAAAAAACCTTTCCCCATCAATGACCAGGGCTGAGCAGCTGTTGGGAGTGGCAGAGAAGACTGACAAAATGTCAGTGGGACTTGCCCTAAGGATCATCTAGGTCAGCCTTTAATATTACGGATGAGGAAACAGGCCTCCTCGGGAAAGGAAGTGACTTGTCCAAGGTCATGTAGCTAATAGTAACCTGACTCCCTCGGGGTGATTTGAGGGAGGGAGACAGACCTGTCCCCAAGTAGTTTTCCCAGCAGAGGCCATGTGTATAGTGGAATCTGGCCCCAGGCAAGACCTTGTTTCTCCCTCCCAAGGCCAGAACATTTATTGAGCCCCTACTGTGTGTCAGGCATTGTGCCACACACGTCACTGCAACCTAGGAGTCAGGTAGAATTATCCCATATTATAAATGAGGAAAGAGGTTCAGAGATTAGATCACTTGTTTAAGGTCACAGAGCTAATCAGCCACAGAGTGAGGATTCAACTCCAGCCTGGCTGACTCCAGAGCCCAGCTCTTTCCAGGCCCCAACTCTGTCTCCAGTTGCTCCAGACCCACTAAATGTCAGGGCTATAGGGCTGAGCCCTTGGAGCTTCCACTCCTTCCCCCTCCTTGTACAGTTGAGGAAACTGAAGCACAGAGAGAAATGACTTCCCCAAGGTCATTCAGCAAGATAGTAGCAGAGTCCAGACTTGAAGAAGATCTCCACACTTCCAGGCCATACTTGCTCTACTACCCCTACCCTCCCACCAGCCTTGGGATCGCTGGCAGCTCTGCACCTTCTGCGGCTGTGCCTTGGAGGGGAATTGGGGAGGTGGGGGGGGGCGCCGCTTTCCTGACTGGCCAGGAATGGGGAGGGAGAGGTGGTGGTGGTAGCTGAGGGGGGGAAGGGTGGGACTGGAACTTGGCCTATTGGCAGTGGGGGAGGGGGCGGGGACGATGCTTATCTGTGCGGGGCAGGAAGCACCCGCGCCAGCGACACCCCAGCAAAGGGTGGCTGCTCCTTGGCCCCATGGGGGAGGGGAGGATGTGGGGGGAGGGATGCTGGGAGCTGTGTTTCCCTTTTGGCCTCTAGAAGGGGGGATCTAGAAGGGGAGATGAACTTCTAGTGGGTGGAGGAGGGTGCTGGGAAGCTGCCTTTCTTGTTTGCATAGTGTTTTATAGTGCACCAAATGCTTTAGGGAGATAACTTGAGTTGAAGCACCTGACGTGCCTCCAGCAGACCTTGTTCCAGTGTGAATCTGAACTCTCTCATTGGCCTCTCTCTGGGCTGTGAGGAGGTTCCACACAAGGACTGTTACCCTACTTTTCAGATGATTGAGACCGGCTGCCAGAGCCACCCAGAGTCCTTCAGCCAATTCTTCATGAAGACTGAAGCCAGGACCCTGGCATCCTCTATCCCAGTCCAGGGCTTCTTCCAAAGGGATGGGGAATGGGGCAGGTGAAGCAGATGAGTCTCCAGGAAAGGACCAGAAAGTCAGGGCTCCTGCTCTCACAGAGGCAGAAGAGTGCACAGTGGTTAGGAACACAGACTCCGGGCCCACTGCCTGGGTTTGAACCCCGTTCTGCACTTAACTTGGAAAGTCACTTCACCTGTCCGCACCTCAGGTTCCTTGTCTATGAAAATGGATGATAATCATTACTTCAGAGGGTTGTGGAAGATTAAATGGGTGTAAAGTGCTTAGAAGAGTATCTGGCATGTAGTCATCCATCAATAAGTGCTGGCCAGTGTTGGTACTCCTTCCCTGGACCCCCTTGCAGGGCTGAGCACTCTTAACCTCCCCCTCCACTTGACCTTGCAGGAGAAGATGGGGAGCCCTGAGGACGACCTGATCGGGATTCCATTCCCTGAACACAGCAGTGAGCTCCTGAGCTGCCTCAACGAACAGCGCCAGCTGGGCCATCTGTGTGACCTAACCATCCGGACGCAGGGCCTTGAATACCGCACCCACCGGGCTGTGCTGGCTGCCTGCAGCCACTACTTTAAGAAACTCTTCACCGAGGGCGGTGGCGGGGCCGTCATGGGGGCTGGGGGCGGCGGGACAGCCGCTGGGGGAGCAGGGGCTGGCGTGTGTGAGCTGGACTTTGTGGGGCCAGAGGCACTGGGTGCCCTGCTCGAGTTTGCCTATACAGCCACACTGACCACCAGCAGCGCCAACATGCCGGCAGTGCTCCAGGCCGCCCGGCTGCTGGAGATCCCATGTGTCATCGCTGCCTGCATGGAGATTCTGCAGGTCAGTGGGCTAGAAGCTCCCAGCCCTGATGAGGATGACTGTGAGCGAGCCCGCCAGTACCTGGAGGCCTTCGCCACAGCCACGGCCTCAGGAGTTCCCAACGGGGAAGACAGCCCTCCACAGGTGCCCCTCCCGCCACCGCCGCCACCACCGCCACCACCTCGGCCTGTTGCCCGCCGCAGCCGCAAGCCCCGAAAAGCTTTCTTGCAGACCAAGGGGGCCCGGGCAAACCACCTAGTGCCCGAGGTGCCCACAGTGCCCACCCATCCCTTGACCTATGAGGAGGAGGAGGTGGCAGGCAAAGTGGGCAGCAGTGGGGGCAGTGGCCTGGCGGACAGCTACAGCCCTCCAACAGGGACTGCCTCACCCCCTGAGGGGCCCCTGAGCTACGAGCCCTATGAGGGTGAAGAAGAAGAGGAGGAGCTGGTATATCCCCCAGCCTATGGGCTGGCACAGAGCGGCGGGCCCCCGCTGTCCCCAGAGGAGCTGGGCTCAGATGAGGATGCCATCGATCCTGACCTGATGGCCTACCTAAGTTCGCTGCACCAGGATGCCCTGGCACCAGGCCTAGATGGCCAGGACAAGCTGGTGCGCAAACGCCGCTCCCAGATGCCCCAGGAGTGCCCGGTCTGCCACAAGATCATCCACGGGGCAGGCAAACTGCCACGCCACATGAGGACCCATACAGGGGAGAAGCCCTTCGCCTGTGAAGTCTGCGGTGTCCGTTTCACCCGGTGAGTACCTGTAGGGAACAGGGCCAGCAAGGGCCAGGTCCCTGGGGAGGGATAAAGGAGTTATAAGACCCAAGTTGTGGAGATAGGTGATCCTGAAGGGATTGTTGGGTGTGGGGGTTTCCAGAGTGAGGAGAGAGACCAGGATAGGGAAACCAGGAGAAAGAAAGTCAAGAGGGGTAGGTCTGGGGCATGAAAGACTTGGTGTCCAAGAGGGCTGTACTGGAGACAGGAGAGCCTTGTGGCTGGGCCCAATGTATCTTGGGGTAATAATGGGGAAACGAATGGTGAGGGACTGGAGTGGGACAAGGCCTGGGAACCCAGCCAGGGTGAGCCAGGGATCCCATCCTGAACATCTCCCTTGCCCCTCCCCCCTGCCTGTGCCAGGAATGACAAGCTGAAGATCCACATGCGGAAGCACACAGGAGAGCGCCCCTATTCGTGCCCGCACTGCCCAGCCCGCTTCCTGCACAGCTATGACCTCAAGAACCACATGCACCTGCACACGGGAGACCGGCCCTATGAGTGCCACCTGTGCCACAAGGCTTTCGCCAAGGAGGACCACCTGCAGCGCCACCTCAAGGGCCAGAACTGCCTGGAGGTGCGCACCCGGCGGCGACGCAAGGACGATGCACCACCCCACTACCCACCACCCTCTGCTGCCACCCCATCCCCCGCTGGCCTCGACCTCTCCAATGGCCACTTGGACACCTTCCGCCTCTCTCTAGCTCGATTCTGGGAGCAGTCAGCCCCTACTGGGCCCCCGGTCTCCACCCCGGGGCCCCCTGATGACGATGAGGAGGAGGGGGCACCCACCACGCCTCAAGCTGAAGGTGCCATGGAGTCCTCTTAAAGAGGGACAAGAGGCCGTGCTGGAGCAGCACGAGGCCGGGGACGCCCATGCCAAGCAGTGGGAGCGTGCAGGACAGACAGAGCTGGGGTCGGGGCACTGTGCCTCCCTGGCATCAGAAATCAGCCCCTGCCCCCCAGAGCCCTCATTCCAGTTCCAAGCTGAGAAGGTTTTGGGGCAGAGGCTCCCCAGATTGGGGTGATCTCCCAAGGAGTGATACATATGATATTATGTATATATTTACAGCTCTATTGTAAAGGTGGGGTCCCTGTCTCCAGCTGCTCCTGGGGAGTAGAAGCAATAATGTATTTCTGATTTGCGGGATCCCTCTTCGGCTATGCGGGTTTCTAGGGGGTGGGGGGCTTGGGACCAAAGCCTTGCCCCGCCCCCACGCCCCTTGGGGTTTTGGCTGTGTAGAGGGGAGAAGGACTGCCCCTCCCTTCCGAGACCCCTCCTTCCTGGTTTCTGTTCCCTTTTCCTGGCAGTGAATTATGCAAAGGGGGCGGCAAAGGAAGGGTAGGTGGGGGAAAGCAAGGTAGAAGCTTGAAAGACTGGGGGACTGGGCCTGTAAGGAAGGAGCCATCCTAGTCCCCCTCCGCCCTGCTCCCGGCGCTGAGTCATGGGGTCCTGGAGAAGAAGGGGGCGGGGTGGCCTGATTGGCTCGCCCGCCCCTGGGGGCAGCGGGAGGGGCCCCGCCCAGCGAGGGGAGCCGCTTCGCTCGGTTCTCCTCCCCGGCCCTCCCCTCCCGCGTCCGCGGGCAGGGAATGTCTTGTTCCCGCCGCTCCCTCCCCGGGGCCAGAGGGCAGGGCGGGCCGGGCAGCGTCCTACCCTCTTCTCCTCCCCACCTCCTCCCCGCCCAGGTGCGAGCCGGAGCCGCCGCCACCGCTGCCGCCCCTGACTCACGCCGCCCCCGGGCTGGCGCGGCGCAGGGTGTGGGACCGGGTGAGGGGTTGGGGGAGCCTTGCGGAGAACGGGCGAGCCGGCGCCATCTGGCGGCCATGCCCTGCGCGGGCGAGCGCCCCCGGCGGCCACCTCCAGCGAGCCGGCTTCACTCGCCTCAACCGCCCAGCTGGTGAGCGAGCGGCGCCCCCTTCCCAAGGCAGTGGGCAAATAACGTCTTGCTTGGCCGCTGGGAGAGTGGGCTGCGGACCTGAGGGAAAGGGGTCCTTTTCCCAGACCCTTGCCAGCCGCGCTTCCTGTTGGGTCAGGGAGAATAATCCCCTCACTCTTCCCTTAGGACTGAATCTACCCCTGTTCTGTACATAGCCTCTTCTGTTGGTCTTGTTGAAATCTAGTTTCAGATTTTTAACTACCCAATTCTGCTGGGGGTGGGGGTCTCTCCCCCCCTTTCCTCGCTGGGTGCTGGACCCCCATTGCGGCCTGGGCTCTGCCTTGCACTATATCCCCTCCCTGGCCTGGCGGCCCCTCCCCCTCCTTAAAAGGGGCAGGTTCAGGGGCCCGGTGCTCTCCCTCCCTCCCATGCACCCCCCCACGCCCATTTGCACAGCTGCCCAGGTACCCCCAATAGTGGGGGGGGTCACAGGGAGGGGGTAGTGGGACCAGTCCCTGTATCTATTTAAAAAGTGATGATGTAATATATTGGGGTGGGGGAGGTCGGGTGGCCCAGGGCCTCATCTTAGCATTTCAGGTGATGGGGGAGCCCAGGGCTGGGGAGACCTGGGGCCTAGCCCCGGGGAGTGAGGACAATGTGGCCTCCCCCATCCCCCCTTGCGGCTTCTCCACTCAGTGCCTTAGGGGGGGAGGCAATCCCCCCTCTCCTTTTCCCCTCCCCTTCCCCTGCCCCCCACCTCGGGTGTAAGCGACAGGAAGAAATAATAATAATTTAAGATTCACACTTGTGTCCACCTTTGGTTCCTTTATTTTGGGGGTAGGTGGGAGAGATCAGGAGGAAAGGGAGATGAGAGACAGAGGGACTGGGACTTCTGAAGCTGGGGAGGGGCTGCTTTGGGGGCAGAGGACTTCTGAGGTGGTCAGTGGGGCTGAGCAGGCATGGGAATGCTGACAGACTTGGCCTCAGGGAGGGGCTGCTGCCTGTGGGTCCTCTTCTGAGGGCCCTTTTCCTCATCCCGGTCACTAGTGAGGAGAGCAAGCAGGTGGGCCGATCACCAACATTCTGTTTTCACAGGTGTATTCCTGCCCCCTGCCCTTGCCCCATCTGTTCAGATTTGGCTCCTGTTATTTACCAGCCACTGCTGCTCTCCCAGGCCCCCAAGGCATGCCAGCCCATGGCTGTAGATGTTTTCCGATTTTAGGCTGATGCTTAGAGACGAGTGGGCAATGACTTGCCCAAGGCCACATGGCTAATAAGGGCAGAACCAGTAGCGACCTTGGTATACCTGCTCGAGGCTCAAGCCACCACTTCTGGCACCCCAGCTTTTAAGTTCCCTGAGACCTCGGGAACCTCTCAAAATAAAGCTTTACTTCCCCTTCAAACTCTCAACTCACCACTACTTCCACTGCCCCATTCACAATGGAATGTGCCCACTGGACAGTTTTCTTTGCAGTCCTCTTAGGTGGAGGCTGCTTGCCTTTCTCACACCCCGTTGGCCCATGACATATTGCAAAGCCTCTGGCTGCCATGGCCGCCACATGTACCCCTGGGGCTGTGGCTGTCTCCCCAGGCCTCTCAGACACCCTGCCGTACCCATCCAGCGGGCCAGTACCCAACTCTGGCTGCTTGTGTGGCCCAGCAGCCTCCTCAGTGAAGGATTCATCCAACTCTCTGGCCTTTCAATCCTGACCTCCTTGCCCATAATGACCTGTACCTCCACTGCCACTCAGATGTCCCTCTCAATCTTCACCACTCTCTGGATTTATTGCAGAATTCTTCCCTGGTGGTGGCCCATTCTCTGTGTCCCTCCTGGCTACCGCCCCTGCTCCAGCACCTCATTGAGACACAGACCCTGGACTGCCCCCCAGGGTCTCAGTCCCTTCCCTTCCCCAAGGCCAGTCGTCTCAGACACTCTTACTGAAGACACACCAATTCTGGCCCCATCTTGTCCTTTCCCTGACCTGCCTAGAAAAAAAGCCTTCAACCTTCGAATCCTGTTCATGGCTACCACACTTGCCCAAGAAAACCACAGAACCATGCACATTGGAGTCAGCCATTACAGGTGATGGTTTTCGACATCCTCTGGGCCTTTCATGCTACCTGCAAATCCCTTAACCTCCCCGCTCGGCTTCTTTGCACATTCCCCAAGGCAGATGTTTCAACCTCCACCACCCACTCCTTGAAACTTTTTTCCACTCCCAGCCCCCTTCTTTGCTTTCTCAGCAGGCAACCTTGCCTCCTACTCCCCAGAGAAAATTGAGGCCACCAGACTGGAGCAGGCTCAACTCTGCTCAGAGGAACATACCCTTTCCCCTCCTGCCACAGGCGAGGCCACTCCTATCCAAGGCCACCCTGTCCACCTGGCCCTAGATCCCATCTCTCCGGCATCCTTCGCTCTTCAGTGCTCTCTTTTTCACCTCCTAAATGCTCAAATCTTCCGACCCTTGGATAAAGAAAAATCCTTTGGTGCTGGGTCCCCTTCAAACTACTCTCTTGCTGTGTGAAGCTAACTCCCTCTCCTTCACGATCAAGCTTTTTTTTGACTACAGCAGTTATATTTAAGAAAAGAATTATCAAACTTCTTGTAACAGTGATGCCGAGCCACGTACCCTGTTTCTGTTTGAGTCTTCTCTCCCAGTCACCCCTCAACCCATTATGATCTGGTTTTGGCCTTCCCAATGCCATGAAAACTGTTCCCACAAGCCACTCCAGTGATCTCTCAACCGCCGAATTCAGTGGCCAGTCTTGAGCCCTCATCTTCCTTGATCACTTCATGGCATTTGATATGCTTAGCTCTCTTGTATTCTTGAGCCTCTTCCATCCTTGGTTTGTGACTGAGCCCCTCAAGGTTCTGTCCCTGTCCCCTTCTCCTCTCCCACCATGCCCTCCGCCAGGATGAGTCAGCGCACTCTCTCTCTTACAGTCTCTAAATCAACAAACCCCCAAAATACACCCCCCGGCCCAGAGCCCTGCTGCTTTCTAACTGTCTGTGGGCATCTCCAGCTGGATGCCCTACAGACACTTTGAAGTTCTTGGACCGGGCCATTCCTCTTTCCCCAGAACCTGTTCCTCCTCTCACCTAACACCCTGCCCCCTAGTCCCAAGCATAAACTCCCGCTCATTCTCAGCAGCTCAGTCCTGAGGCCACCGCCAACCTCTCCTGAACTAAGACAGCTTCCTGTCTGCTCTCCCTCTTCCTGCCCATCCTCTGCTCTGCCTCTAGCTTACTGTCCTAAAAGACAGATTCGAACATGCCACTTTCTGACTGACGATCTTCAAACGGCAAGTAAGGCCCTCTCCCATCTTCCAACCTCATCTGCCAACTGATTCTCTGAGGTCTCCACCCAGACACACTTGCACACCCCCTCCTTTAGGCTCTCCCCTCCTGAATGGCTCAGATTCTCCCAACTCACACAGGTTTCCCCCTGGAGTGCTTTCCTCCGCTCCTTAGCCTAACAAACCACCAGGTTGCCTCCAGACCTACCTCTTTTTTCACCTCTTATGTGACGCCGTCATTAATATACCCCCATCCCAAATTGATTGTTCTGTCCTCTGTGCTATCCAGAGCCTGCTTCACCCCTTGACTGGGGTACTCTCCACACTGCTGTCACTTATCTATTTGATGTCACTCTCTCCCACCATTCAGTGGGCTCCTCCAGGGCAGGGGTGCTGACACAGAGCAGGCACTTGGCAAACCTCCATTCCCACCCCTGCCTCCATCTCTGTCTAGCTCTAGCAGAGGACCAGACACCAAAGAAGCCCTTCGTAAATGTGACAGAACATGCTTGGGCCTCCCAGGCCCCAACTCCTTCTGCTCTCTGCTCACCTGGACTCGGAGCTGGACTCTGATGAGACGGTCCTGTTCAGCTCTTCTTGGAGCCGTTGCCGCAGTAACCACTCTTGCTCAGGGTCCTTTTTTCGAATTGCAGCCAGCCATAGCTGGGGGCCCTCCTCGTCACTGGAGTCCCTGGAAAAGCCTCCTATCTCAGTGGCCTGCAGAGGTGCTGTGGGAGGGGTGGCTGCTCCCACTGCCCCCACTGACTGTAGCCACCCCATCTCACTGAAGACTCACAGCTCCAGGTCCAGTTTCCCCTGGTAGGAGAGAGGAGATGCACACACGGAGCAGGTGTTGTCCAGGAGGCGGAAGCAGGTGGTGCAGAAGAGAGCTGGAGGAGGTCAGGAAGGAAGGAGGTGAACTTGAGCTTACCCACCCACCCACTGTGCTCCCTAGCTTCTAGCCCCTGCCTCCCCTGGGAGGACCGTCCTTGTCAAGCAGTGTACACTAGGGATTTGCTGCATTGCCAGTTGCATGTGAATTCTGTTCGCACATGGGAGAATTAAGGCAAACATTAAGACAATGAGCTACCTGTAAATGAGAACATGCGTGGTAATGAAGGAGAGGTACAAAAGGTGAGGTAGGGGAGAAGTCCATGAAGGCAGGACCACATTTGATTGGCATATGCAGATGTGGTGAGTCCCAGCAGGGAGACGCACACTGCCCAGGAGTCTCACCTTGGCAGCCGGGGGTACTGCAGGACACAAAGTTCTCCATGTCCCCCTCGTCCTGGGGCTGCCCGCAGCCCAGGCAGTAGGCCTGGGGCTTCCAAAAGTGGCTGATAAATGGAGCCAGGCAGGAGCACCTGAAGAGAGGGGTCCCAGACACTGAGCAGGCCAGCCCAGCCAGCCTAACCACCCCCATCTCCATCACCAACCTCCAAATGGCAGATAGGCCTTCCTGCAGTCTAACCTCCATCCCTCTGACTGTAACAACAACCTTCAACCTGTTTCCTGTCCTCCTCCTCCCTTTACTCCCCACCCCTAAGAATTCTCATCCCAATTTCTCCCCCTCAGTGCACGAATAGCATGGAATGGGTCCCCTCTTCAACCAAATCTCTTGACACTTAGGACAGTGATCCATTCTGACCTTTGGCTTTTTCTGTCCCCTCCCGGCCCAACTCCTATAAGGAAGGACAGTGGGCTCACCTCATGGCCAGCCCCTGGAGGACACTCATGTGGCCCTGGTCAGCTGCCCGCCGCCTCACGGTTCGATGCAGGGCAGCCAACAGGTTGGTTCGGCGGCTCAGAAGTACATTGTAGAGGTAGGTGATCCTCTCCTGGTGGTGGGGAGGTCAGAGATGGCATCCCCTTGGTCTTGTTTCATCTGCCTGAAGTGCCCTGTGCACCCTTCCCTGCTCCCGACCTTTGCCTTCTGTCCGACTCCTGTGGATCCCTCCAGACGTGGCTCAAATGCCCCTTCCTCTGGGAAGCCTTCTGGACTTGCCTAGGCAGAGTTACTCATTCCCTCCTCTGGGCTTCCATAGCACTTTATTCATTCTTTAATAAAAACTCTTTTTTCGTTGGAATGTCTTGTTCTTTTTTTTTTTGAGGAAGATTAGCCCTGAGCTAACTGCTGCCAATCCTCCTCTTTTTGCTGAGGAAGACTAGCCCTGAACTAAAATCTGTGCCCATCTTCCTCTACTTTATATGTGGGATGTCTGCCACAGCATGGTGTGCCAAGTGGTGCCATGTCTGCACCCGGGATCCGAACCGGTGAACCCCGGGCTGCCGAAGCAGAACATGCGTACTTAACCACTGTGCCATGGGGCCGGCCCCTAAAATGTCTTTTTCAAAGTCTGCCTGGCCTGTCTCGAGATGCTAAGCTCCAGGCTGTGTCTGGCTCGTCTCAGCATCCTTGAGGCCAGCACAGTGACTGGCATACGGCAGATGCTCAGTCAACGATTTGTAAATGAGTAAACTAGCGAGTTTCCATTCACACTTCAA